AGTTAAAATTATTACTTTACTCTACATATTAAACCCCAAAATTCCCATATACTATCTCAACTCTAACTCACCTCTTACTCACTCCTTACTCACAACTCCTCNTAACTCACCTCTTACTCACTCCTTACTCACAACTCCTCTATTCAAATCTATCCCTACTTCTTTATGTTAATTTTTGTTTATTACACTAAATAGACAATTAAAATCATTCATTTTTATTGTTTTTAAATTAAATGTCAAATTAGATTTAAAATTATAATAGGTTTCTACGAAGTTAAATACTTTTTCTTTGTTATTTATGAATTTCTTGACTCTATTTGTGTAGTCTACTATCAGTATGTAATGTTTCTAATAAGCGTGTTTTTTAAATATTTATAACAATATGCAAAAAGTAGACGCCAACATGAACTGGACATATAATGAAACTTAACCCACATAGCGTTCAAATAACAACGAATTGGATTATTTTAAACATGACTAAAAAACAAATGAAAGAGTACACTGTTAATACAAGAATAATTATAAAAAGGCACAGAGTGAACAATAAATTAAAAAACGAGATATAAATTACTTTAAAGCAATAAAAATATTAATTAAATACAATAAATGATTGGACATAGAAATTACAACTTAATTATTTAATAGTAATTGTAATGCAGGCATTATTTGATCAGGAGTGTAATCATTTAAGATTTCTTCAATAAATTTGTCGAATTTTTCCAGATCTTCTACTTTACCAAATGTCCTGTTATGCAATTCTGCCTGGAACTCTAATAATTCTATTAATACTTCACTTAAATCGTATTTATCAAAAAAACATAACAATATAAATAAAATAATAGATTTTTTATAATAAATTGTTAAATAATTACATTTTTTCCTAATGATTTTATGTCAAGCATTCAGTATTTTTTTCTAAAATATACAAAATAATTTATACTAGTACGCCTAAATAGAGAGGGTATTTAATAACAAGAGTATTAGAGTGGTCCTTATTTTTCTATTTCTAATTTTAATAGACACAAAGCAAATTTTTTTCATTTAAATGTAAATAAATTACTTACAAAATTTTTAATCTATTAAAATTCATTAAAACGTGGCACTATTAAGTCAATATTTGTCATAAAATCAAATTTATTCTTATTGGTTTTTGTATTCATTAAACATAACATATTTTTTTGATTTTTTAAAGTTGCTCTTATGATAGTTTATAATTAAGAAATGTTGAAACTTCCAAACACAATTTCAGGTCAACTTCCAAGTTTAGAATTTATATTATTAAATAGAATATATTAATGAGGAAAAAATATTCTATTTTTTAGATTGATATGTGATCAGAATCTTTTATAATTACTATTAACAGAAAATTTATGAAAAAAACTAAAAATTTCGTTAAAATCACTATTTTTTTGTATTTTTACTGTAATAAATCATTAAAATAGAAGTCTTAGTAATCATTTGTATGCACTTTTGATGTTTAAATAATTATTTATAGTGATATACAGTACATTATACATTCTGCTAGTTACATATTTTTTGATTTAGATATATTTATTTATTATTCATACGTAAACTAATAATTATTAGTTTACATATCAATAATAATAATAATAATCATACAATAATCAATAATCATATACTGATTATATTAATTAGAAGGATTTAAATAATTAGCTGTGTTAATAAGTGCAAATTTAGTTGCATAGAGATGCTTATGATCACTTATTAAATTTTTTTTAGAAATAGTTTCATTTAAACCATCATATTTTATAATTAATTTAATATCCATTAGAAATTTTAGAGATGCATATCGTTCATATTTTATGAAAATAAAGTTAAACACACTATTAATAAATATTGAATCGATTATTGTACATTGAGATACAAATTATTAAAAAACATCAGCTAAATTAATTGTGAGTAAGCTATAACAGGTAAGGGTCTAAATGTGGAGTAATTATTAGGTGTTTCAGAAATGTGTCTGGTACTGAAAATACGTATTGAAATACGTTTTATAGTTTATTTGTTGTTCACCTAAATTACCTATAATATATAATACCAATATTACCTAAATATTAAAATTTAATTATTTATTCATATTTTTTTAAATGCTTTAGGTATTTCCTTTGTATTAGATATATATGTATTTGAAAATCTAAACCATTATCTGCCAAAGGGGAAATCAAAATAGCAGCTATTCCCAAAGGATAACTTTTTCAACTTAGCTTTTGAAATTGTTCTTGAAATACTCTTAGCTTGAAACAATGTTAAATTGAACATTATAAATATTATACATATATGGCTTCAGTAGTCAAAAAACATACTATTTTTGCGTTAACATTTTTATTTAATATTTTATTTTTTCGACTTTATACTAATATTACTTTTTGAAAAATGTATGGATTAATAGAAATTTTTGTTTAAGTGTATGTCTATAGATAGTGTAAAATTTTTAGATTTATTGAATTATTCCAAAAGCAACACCAATTCCTATTTTCCTAATTATTTCATGACTAAAAATTTTATAGTCTTATAAGTACAATACATGAATTAGTACTTATTAAAGTAATTAAAGAAAGTATGACTTTGATATAATATATTATACATTTTTACGGATAAATTATAAAAAGTTATAAAATTGTTTTATACAAAGTTTTTGTTGGTTTTGTTTTTTAATTCATCCCTTATACCTTATAAGGTGTCAGCTATGTTGTTTTAAATAACAAAATAAATATTTAAATAGCTATTAAAATAAAAAATGTTCTAATTAAGAAAATAATTGGTTAATAAAAACTTTTGATGAGGGACGATAGCGACCATCGCCCACCCTCGAATATTAATGTATATAAAATAATCGCCAAGATGTAAAATTGGAAATTTTATAAAATAACAGATTTTTTATAAATTTTTAATGTTTCTAATTTTTTCTGGGAAGGTTTACGTAACTTTATGCACAAGATCAAATAGCCCTCCTGTTTTAACGGAACGCCCGGTTATAATGTGCGGGTTAGTTAACGTCCAATTGGGTTATCTAATTATGCCGGAGAAAGAAATAGGGAGTGGACTGTATATAAACGGATGGTACTTACACTAAATAAAATAATAAGAATTACAAGATAATGAGTTATATTAAAGTAATCATATATATATATATATAAATACCAGTTCGGCAGGTAATCGTAAAAATGTTGTTTGATAATCACCTCGACTATTACGCGCACGAATAATTGCAGAACCTAAAATGACGGTAGTATTTGACTGCGATAAACCGAAAAATTCCTGAACATTAGATTTTGAGGTACCAGTAGTTTCACTATTTGAGCTCACTGGTATTGAGTTTTGGCTATTTACGATGTTAGAATGCAGTAAAGTATGGTGACGCTTCTAGCATTTCGAACATGACAACTTAGATTTGCACTCCGAGGCGCGATGCATATCACTCAAACACGAAAAACATAACTTCTCTTTAATAACGGCTTCACGCCGTTTTTCAGTAGTATATGATCGAAAAACATTACACCGATACGCTGGATGAGAGTCTGAACAAAATGGGCACTTTTTATAGTTTTTTGCTGATCCTGTTAATACAGTTCTTTGTTGTGCATAGAATCTACCTATGTTATTTTTATTTGTGCATTCTTTCTTATCGGTATTGTAACCTTTGATTTTTTCTAAAATTCGACAGCGTTGTCGAACAAAAGAAATCAGGTCGTCTATATTTGGAATTGTAGATTGCGATACTCTGGCCTCAAATAAACGACGCGTGTCTACGTCTAATACCTTAGCACCCATATAAAAAAGTAAAAACCCAGATAAATCTTCCACACCGAGATTTTTTATGGCTGTTACATTGTCATTAAAAACATCAATAAAATCATTTAAGGCTGATAATGATTCTGTCATTATTGGTTTGAACAAAAATAACCTATCCAAATGTACTGATGCTAATAGTCGTTGGTTTTCATACCGCTCCATAAGAGCGCTCCATGCGTCATCATAGTTAGCAGAGAGTGGGTAAGATTTTATTGTGTTTAACGCCGGACCAGATAAACATGATAATAATAGATGAAACCGGTCGATTTTATTAATATTTCTAGAGGAAACAAAAGAATCAAATCTTTCATAAAACGAACGCCATTTTTCGGGATTACCATCAAATTTAGGCAAATCAACATTAGATAAATATGTGTTATATTGTGATTGAGGCGTTATAGAAGCAGGCATACTATTTGTGGACGTAGTTGACGTTAATACTAAATTTATTTTAAAAATAAGCGTCTCCATTACATCGGTAACTGGAGAATCAATACATTCGAATTCTTCGAATGTATTTGTGTTGGTGTTCACGGAATTGCGTAACATGGGAATCTAGTTGGCGCGAACGAATTTCCAACTCAGACATTAGTGATGGGTCACTTTTAACCATTTCTGCGACTGCGTAGATTTCTTTAATTGATTTCAGCGCACAATCGCGTGATAAACGGGCAATAATAAGCGCCTTGTTCTTTTCGACGGGTACGGTTTTCGCACTTTTTCTCGGCATGATTACTATAAAATATCCCGGTTCGAAGGGCCAAATGTTTGAACGGAACGCCCGGTTATAATATGCGGGTTAGTTACTGTTCGTTTCTGGAGTATTTATATCATGCAGGAGAAAGAATTTGGGAGTGGACTGTATAAATGAGTAAATGTATTGAAAGAATATAAAACAATAAACTGTATTTTTAACATAAACTAAAATATTATACAGGGTGTTTCCTGACTTACTGAACACCCTGTATATATGTGGGTAGGGGGGTCCTTAATGCTAATGCAACAATGCGTCAAATAAAACAAACAATAAGATAAAAATAAGACAAAACAATATAACTAATAACTACTTATCTATACTGATGATGACTGGTTGATGCGAATGAAATCGTTGGAACCAGAAAAATGTATTGTTGCGAATAGTATGGGCGTATCGTAAGGGCGATAAAACAATAATGCACAAAGGTGCGACAATCGCAAGGGCGATTTATAGGCGTTTTTACCAACTACGTGCTCGCAAACACCATAGAGCCATACAAAAAAACGAATGAGGGTGGCAGCGAAAACGCAAAAACGTTACACAAGGACCGATAATAAACTAGGCGAGTCACAAGAAATCACGCACGTAAACATCCAACGTAATGAATTCCTCGCACAACCGGTGGTGGCAGCGCGAGTGGCGCTATCAGTCACAGCAAAATCGGTAAAAAACGGCCTCTTGTGATGTGTATCTAACATCTATATTTTATTATTATTCCTCCTTCTTAATTATAAAAAAATATAAATATCACACGTATGGCCACTTGTTTTATTTCCCTCATCATCCTTCATTTTAATGATCTCTCTTCATTCTTTTTATTATTGTAATTAATATCCATAACTTTTTACCATTTTTTCTTTTTATGACAATTTTT